CACACACACACACACACACACACACACACACATGCATACACAAACTGAGCCACTCAAACACAAACTCACTGAAACATACAAACACACACACACCTAAACAAACACTGAAACATACATACATATACTCAAACACAGAAACACACACGCTCTTAAACATACAAACACACATGCACGCAATCATATTACAAACAAATATGCAGTAAATCAAACCTACTAAACTACACATTTTCAAATACGAAAACAAGCTCTTCATCAAGCACACAGAACACAAACACATTTTATGATTTTTACGAGAGCCTGATTTCACCACGATGCCACACACGTTTCTCTCTTCCCAGAGGCCCTTGCTTCCCGATCAGTATCCCCGAGGATGAGGATTTTTTCAAGGGCAAAACTTGCATGGAGTTTGTGCGGAGCTCTGCGGCCATGGACGTGAATGACGTAGATCTCGGTAATCTATTTATAGCAGTGGAGTCCTCTTAAACCAAAGTATCTCTAGTGCAAAATCTTTGCTTTAACCCTCTTAGCACCATGTCAGCACTGCATAACCAAAATGGCGGCCTTCTGATGGCTTCCCAGAAGCAAATTGTTACTTTTTTTTACTGTTTCAGATGGTGTAGCAGAGAAATTGCCTTTGCTTTTGATCTAAGCAATTGAAATTTCACATAAAAAGACTTAGGACATCAATTTCTGAAGTTAGAATGGAATGTTCATATTTCTGAGCCGGTGCTAAAGGCAAGTGTTTCAGTCTGATAAAAGCTGATATGGCAACGTGGCGGGGTTGGGTAGGGAGGGGGGAGGGGTGTTTCAAATTGGTGTTTTATGGGGAAAATAGGGAAGTAACCAATATAAACAAACTGTTGCCAAGGGCGATTGGAACTGACATGGGTATGCAAAAATCCTCTATGCTCTAAAAAAGGTGTCAGTATTTTACCTTTATTTCACTTGGCTTTTGTTCATAAATGGAGGAGGTACACATGGGGGCCAAATACAAAAACACAATAAAAGCTTCATTTTTCAATGTTCCATAGCATCCTGATACCTTAAGCATTCTTTCTCCCCCCCCCCCTCCCCACAGTTCCGCGGGAACAGGTGAACGGGCTCACGTCTTACCTTGACGCCTCCACCGTCTACGGATCTACCAAGGAGTTTACAGAGAAAAACCTTTTGCCCAACGGTATGGCAATAACAATGGTGATGCGTTTTAAGGTGATTCAGAAAAAGAAAGCATTATTTATATTATAGAAGAGATTATGTTATTTTCTATTGTCTTAAGTGCTAAACGCCCCCCCCCCACTGCACTTTTTATTGCCTTTTTAAAATCTATTTTAAAAAATTAGAATTTGAACTTCAACGACATATCTCTTGAGAACATGCAGCCAATATCACAGATTAAGAAATTGCGATAAGAACATAATTTGTAAGCTTTGGACCTTCTACAATTTAACTACTGGCCGACGTTTTAACTTTTTACACGATTCAGGTAAACTGAGAGTGGGCCCGAACAACATGCTCCCACGGAGCGACAAGATGAACTGCAAGATTGAGGACAGAAGGCGAGACTACTGCTTGTCTGCAGGTAGTAAGATAGGATACGATAAGATAAGATACATCTTTATTGTCCAGATCCTGGCACATTGGTTTGGTGTTTCACCACGTGTACACACACACACACACACACACACACACACACACACACACACACACACACACTTAAACATGCACATATATGCAGGCTAACAATCACATGCATAATATAAATGAGCACCAATAGAAACAATAATAATCTTAGGCTAACAAACGAATGGAAATGCCCATAAACGGTATAGCAACGGGGTGGAATCAGCCACTAATTAAAATAATGAAATCGAAGTAACCGATGTTTTTCCGTCCGTCGGGAACATGATTTATTCAAATATTTGTTTTGGGCTCAACACATTAGATGTCAATGTAAAAACTCATTCCTGGGCGACTATCACTGAAAATTTTAGAAAATCAAAAGGTGTAAATTTACGGTTTCCAATACAGCTTTGGAATTCACCAAATGTTCACGGCCATTTTCTCGCTAATTTTGCTTCTGACGCCAGTTGACCCCACTTCCTCCACCTTCAAATAACTCTATTTCTATTCGTGAATGATGGCTATTGTTTGGGGGTTACTTTTCGAAAGAGGGGCAAATGAAAAAGCTATAAAATTATACCCATAATTCCACAATGTGCCCCAGAATTGACGTGCGCCTGTTTCCGCCACACCGTGACACATAGGTGAGGCAGCGAGGTTGAATCAGGCTCTCGTCAATTTTTGGCATGTAGAGCGATTAGTATCATCTTAAAGCTTGTTCACTTGTCCTTATTTGGATGAAAAAAAGTATCCATTTATCTTGAACACAAGTCGAGATATTTACGAAAGAAAGAGGAGGGGGTCACCTGTTTTGAGAGGTAAAATTAGTGAGAAAATGGCCGCTACAGGTTAGTAATTTCCTTAGCTTAAGAGTCCGTGGTAACGGAAAATTTACTTTTTCTGTGTCTTTGATCAACGTTTTTCAGAAAAATCCACACAGAAATGAGTTCTTTAATGGGCATGGAAGGTGTTGAGCCAAAAAACAAAAATTTAATAAAAATTGACAAACCTGCAGAACAATGTAAGTTTCTTCATTTTGATTATTGTGACGAGAGCCTGATTCCACCACGCTGCCTCACATATCATTATGTACATGTATGTTTTTAATTGTGAGTACATGAGCATTTATAATCAATACAGCCATGTTTTCTTTTCTTTTCACTTTTGTCTGTTTTTCCCCCCGAAAGTAACTGTCTATTAGTCTGTCTAAAGTCTAAATGCCTGTCTGTTTATCTTGAGACGTTTCGATACTAGTCGTCTCCCAATGGCTTCTAACGCTTCTAACCAATTCTCTCGAGTGGTTGAAGGCGCCACTGGAAGATCCCACTTCTTCCCATCCCCTCTGTTTTTACTTTCTGTCTGTCTTACCTTTCCCAGAAGTAATACATGCCCATTATTGTGTCTGTGTGCTTCTCTAAACTCAAGCAAACAAAAGAACAAACTATTGTAATGTGCGGTTCTTCAGTCAAACTCAATTCTCTATTTCTGTCCTTCCATGTAGAGGGTGTTTGAAGGGTGCTCTGAGATGATTTGCTTCTTCGCTCCTATAAAAGATCAATCGTCCTTATCTCCCCTCCTCCTATTCTATGTACGTAACTCTCCAGTCACGCCACACCTCTAATCTTCAGCACTTATATATATA